CGAATTGTTCTCGTCACAATTTATACCGATACACAACATACCCAACGTCTGGAAAGGTCCGCCATCCAAACGCCAATGAGAGCGAACTTCTAACCACCACCAACCACCGTTGACATGACCGCCCAGCATGGATGTGGCACACTGTGCCCGTGGGTAGACTCGACGAATTACGGCTACGGCATTGGCGTCAAGCCACGCCCCTGTCCTTCGGAGTACAGTGAAATGCGTACAGTTTGCACAGACGCAAACCGACCACAGCAACCAACCTACGGTGGCTGCAGTTGATGAAATCATCATGTACATCCCAGTGCAGCACTGTAGCATCACGACCATGAAAGACAATCTCAGCATGGCGCTCTACTAGGTAAGCCGAGGAACGCGAGCGCCGAGGTTGGGGTGCATACTCGTACGAAATCCAGTTCTGGGCTACAGTCCGGATGTGTGAATCAAGCAGTTTCTACAATTAATCTACGGGTCACGGTAGTGCGGACTGACGCAATATTACCAAATGATGTTTGCTCCTGAAACGAACGGCCCCTTCACAATCGGCCCTATGCTTGTCTCACCTCTGGTGATGCTCTTGTAAGATGGCACTTGTAGCCTTTGTTTCTTTGACGCTCCAAAAACGCGATAGCTAGGCAACAATTCTGGCCATGCAGTCAACAAAGCTGTGGGCAGATACTGTCTGCCCTCGACCCTTCTCCTCAACAGCTAGAGAATATGCATGTACTTGTCAAGTACAGTCTGGTACGTGATACATTGCGAGGTCAATACACTTTGGCCTGGTAGACCAACATGATTCATCACAGCCAAACCACCAAATTACTACCGCACGGGCGGCTCCTCGTAAGCCAATCAGGCAAAGTAATTAATCTCTTTCATTAAAACGCTGGGACAGTGCCGTGTCGTGCGTCGGGTGGCTGTGAGACCTGCTACCCTGGAGCTATATGTCTTTTTCTTCATCCGCGTTTCGCGATGCAAGCCTGCCTCGAGCGGAGAAGCAGCCAGTCAAGTGTAGTGGGCGAATCGAGATGTATCTCTTGCCGCGGCAAGTAATGTTTGTATGAATGTCTGCAACCTCTTCTTTAACCCCGAGGAGCGACGGGCCGCAGGCCGAGCCACATTCTGAGTTTAAGCCGGCCCTGATCTCGCCTAGGTTTGCTGTTTTCGTCTTGGTCCATGACGGATAGACCATGCTACCGTGTACTCCAGCCTGGGGGGATCAAACGCTTCCATCGAGCGTTCTATTTGGGTTAAGTGACGTTAGGACGTAGGAATGCGCCTACCAATTGCCATACAAGGGCTCTACAGGTGTGTAGTTCTCACCACATTGTCACATTGTGCACATTCCGTATCCCGTGACGACCGCGTCGTGATACTTGGCTCGCTACACATCTAGGCTTCTATAGCAGCGTTGCTGCGACTTGACCTTGAAGCATCGCCTCCTGCGCCTTACGCGACGAATCTACCCCCATGGTGGGCTCCATCACTTCCAGCTTGCCCTTTATCAAGCCCTGGATATTCAGCTGCGGACGTTGGTAGTGCCTGCGTCCATCAGACACTCACATACCGCCGGCAATGAGAAGCATGACGCCAAAGGCCAGGATAAAGTAGTTCATGTTGTTTGCCGTGACAGGGATAGATGGCGGAAACACGAAAAGGACGGCTGTGAGGACTGTCCACAGAACACCGACCTGATTCTTGTTAGTGGCTTAGGGATACACGCGTTGTAAGATGACGTGGGACGTGCCATGTTGAAATCCAGCCCAGTGCACCGGGCAGCCTGAAGGATCTGTTGGCCGGCAACATTGTACGGCGGCGAGGGATATTGATGGCGGGAGGAATGGCATACGTCACGCCCAGCGCAACCACGGACGCAGCAGTGATTGCGTTGAATGTGTGCGGTGGCGTCGAAGCTTCGCATCTGTCAGTTACATGAAGGAAATGCCTGGCCGTAGAAGCCTTCCATGTCAATTTGATACAAGACACTGGACGTACCCGTCAATGCAGAGGCGCCCTGGAGCAGACCAAGCAGCCAGACCAACCCGTCACGTAGCCGACGGCGTGGCTCGCGCTCTTGCACGAGACTATGGCCGCCCGGTGATACTGCCCGCCGGCCGTGGGATACGCCGACAGGAACTCGGCGAGCGACACAGGTTGCAGATGCCGGCGCCCATGAGGCCCCAGACGATGCAGCCGGATCCCCCGGAGGGCCGGAGGGGAGGGCGAGCGTGATGGAGGGCCTTTGGTCGTCGAGAAGATGGAAGTGCTGACATGGATACAAAGGGAAGCGTGACGAATAGCATGTCCGTTGATTTCACAAAACCCGTCGACAAACTGGGTTGCATAAACGGCGGATCCAAGGTCAGGAGTCAGGACCACTTGATCATTTGCGAGCCGCCTGAACCTCGCCACAGTTAGAATCAAAACCACAGCGCGCCAAACGTCTCGGAGACCCCGTCAAGAATGGAATTGCTCATAGAGCCGCCGGTTTCTGTCGTATCTTACCGAGTACAGCTGCTCTACCAAGGTGGAGGAACGTATCAGACGGTAGTGCAAGTCTCTGTCTCACTTCCGTGTGGCAGTGACGCGCAGTCGCTGTTGAGGCAGTTGACCCTCCCGAGAATGATTCGACTTTATGATAACTCGAGTCTCTCAAGTCTTGACGTACAATTCTAACCTCGTAACACGAAAACTCTAGCGGATATCTGACCAAGAGTGACGCAGCAAAACTCAACCAGCAGTTTCGTGACTTGCGTTGGCGTGTCTGGAATAGACTGTGAAGGGTTTCTTGATTTCATCATACCGTCCTTGTGGCAGTTGACTGGCAAGCCGCCTGATGCAGCAGCCGTATTTCAGCCCGAATGTAAACCAGCTTTTACCTTGCTTGGATACCTCCCCCCGACCTCCCATAGCACTTGACAGCCATTGTTCATTTCAAGTAGAAAAACCATCAAGTTGTATGCATACTGTACACAGTCTCATTCTCTGCCGTCTTGTTCAGTTTGCCCCTAAACCGCGCCAGCGTCTCAAAGTGACGGGTATTCTTGATAGTAATATGCTTCCATTTACGGGTGTGAGCCAGCATGTACGACTTGCGTCGTGGCGGCATCTCCAATATCGATATGACACTGGGCATCCTTTTGACAGTTATAATGGCTCACTCGCATAACTAGCTGTCGATTCGCGTTGGAGTTTTGCCTAACGTGCGCTGTTCGTATTAAGCACATATGACTAGACGCGGTCAATATACCAAAAGATTGTTGATGTGGGTGATGGACATGATTCTCCTTGGGGTCTCCTTATATACAGAATGGATGGTCTCGCCCCCCTGATTTTCATGCGAGTTGGTCATCAGTCCTAGGTTTAATAGTGATGTAATTGACTAGTCCTATTAATTGCACCGTATGGTTGTGAGGCTTGAGCCTTGTGAGTCAGACAATCGTCTGGATGTGCTCACGTCGAAAGCATCCTGCCGCCATTATTTCGCATCTGTCTCGTAATTTTAGCTCGCCGTTTTTGTAAAGAAATTCCTTTTTTATTTCCACGTCTGCCGGGGTATTTCCTCCCCTACTCTAAAATATATTATTGAACTGTCAAGAGCTCAGCCCTCGAATTCCACGACATGGCCGCTCCCACGCTACACTAGAGAATGGTTATTTTTCAAAATTCCCTCATTAAAGGTTTAGTCTATCAGGGTCTAGTCTGTATAAAACCAGTTATATAGTACATCCGAAACGTCCCGGAACTAGGTAATTAGGCTGCGCGGAAGCTGCGCGGCGAACAAGCTAGATGGGATTGACGCCTTGTTATGGCTACTATTGGCCAGAGCACACACAACACACGAAAAAGTCCCTTCCGGGTCGTGAAACCTCCCACCGCATTATCTACTGTGATATCTCCCGCTCATAAGAGTGCCCAACCACGATAAAAGCATACGCGACCCAGTCATGGCCATTACGCCCGGCTACAGCGTGCTGACATGCACATATCCCGTGTTGGCGCACGCCGTGCGAGGCGACGCGTCACTTTGCGCCAAGCCCAGCTCCGTGATTCGTCGCATCGGCCTCACCTCTGTCCATGCTGGCCAGTCTGGCCGCTCAGCTCGCTCCCACTCCGTGTGCAACCAAGCGTTGGCCGAGCCGCCAAACAACTACATAAACAAGAAACCAAGGCCTGCCCGACAACAAAAGATGCAGCGTGAAAAAACCATCTCTTGACATCTCAGGCCCCGGGCTGTCGGTCCACACCCATCATCTCTCACCACGTCTGTAAATAACCTGCCATTGAGAAAGAAACAAACATGGGCGCCCCCTCGCCAAACACGTCGGCCCCTCCCCCGACGCCCATGCTCAACGCCCAGCACGAACGCCTCATCCTCGAGCTGCTCCCCTTCAAGGACGCCGCCAGGTTCAAGGAGTGGCTGAACAGCGACCTGGTCCAGGGCTCGTGGGCGGAATTCTGGCGCGACTTCGTGGCCAGGGCGCGCACGCCGTACCCGGAGCCCGACAAGCACAAGACGGCCGAGGCGGCCAAGAACGCCATCAACGGGCGGAGCGTCAAGTTCCTCGTCTACCACCCCGACAAGACCAACTGGACCGTCGACGACCACCATGTGCGCTTTATCGTCACCGTGATCCAGGACAACATGCTCAAGAGCTTGTGGTCCGACTCGGACTGGAAGAAGAGGGCTATCGAGGTGTGCAAGGCTGTTTTCGAGGTCCTGTGCTACCTCAAGGCGAGCTGTCATTCCGTCGAGGCCGGGGGACCCCCGAGTTATTCGCAGTGATGGCGAGGCGTTTTGAGCACTGCCTACCTAGGACTGTTGGCTCCACATTGATATGAGTTCTGAGAGCAGGGGCCCTTGTATATCTCGTTTTGTCTCAACTAGTATATGAAGCTAGCTAGGGCCAAAGTTGAATGAATGCTGATACCGTATCCCTTGTGCCTGAAGCCTCGTTGCGCACATGTGCCAACACTTGCCGCGGATGTGGCAAGCATCAGCGCGCCCTCATGTCATTCCGCACTTGCACCTCCCGCCAATAACTCTCCTTCTTCATCGCCCTGAACTTCTTGCCAAACCACATCATGGGGAGGAAGACGGAACAAATCGCCAGGGCGACAAATGCCACGCTAATAAAGCAGTTCTGCAGGCCTAGCCCGTCCAGCCACGGCGTGATGCCGTAGCCAATCGCAAAACTCATCGTGTTGCGGATGATGATAATGGTCGTCAGGCCGTCGCCAGAGATTTCGGGAAACGAGTCTACCAGATATGCGACAGAGAGGGTAACTCCCGCAGCGCTTGTTGCCGAGAGGACAACCATTGCGAAGAGGAGGCCGAACCAGTGGACCTGATGAGCAGCCTGCATGTCTCGCACGGTTAGAAGCTGAACGACTTTGCATTTGTCTGGCGAGGGAGACGACTCACGCCCACGCCCCAAAGAATGAGGGAGAAGGGGGCGGCGACTGTCATGCCCGAGAAGAGCCAGAGACGCTGCTCGGGCTCGAAGATGCCGTGATTGCGGCGTGCCAGCTTGAGAACCACCCAGTCCGACGCTATGCCGCTGTATACAGACCTGCTCCTTGCGCATTAGCATTGGTTTGCAGAGGTCCGTGTTTGCATCAGACGCACCCTAGTATCACGCCAACAAGGCATGCTATATAACTGAGACCGACGATACTGGGTTTAAAGTTGTATGGCGCGCCGCCCAGGATAATCGACGCCGTGGCGTTGAGAATGTTGAACCAGATCAGGTATGTCCCGTATGAAAAGCCGGCAAAAAATATGTTTGGCCAGGTAAGTAGTCTGAGCGACTGCCAAGCTCGCCAGTGCATGAGAAATGGGCGCGGGCTATCCTTCAACGACAGCTTCTGGAGGAAAGTCTTCTCCTTTCCCGGGACGGGAATCTGATGTGTGGCGGGGACACCTTCAACGCCAGCCGCGTGTTTATCTCGTTGGGCCTCGTTGGTGGACGGCGGCATGTCCACCGTGTTTGCGACTGCACGGTCATAGTTGGATTCCTCCATGAAGAGGAAGAGGAAAACAAACGCAACGGCGCCAAAAATAGCCATGAAGAAAAAGGGCCACTTGTAGCCCATGCCATCGTTGATGAAGCCACAGATGACGGGAGCAAAGTAGTTGGACGAAGCCAAGACCCAAGCATACCAGCCCATATATGTGCCGCGCTCATGGGTAAAGTAAATGTCCGTGATGGATGTTTCCGGCAGGGCTTCAATTGGAGCGGCTACGAAGCCCGTCACAATGTTGCGAGCAATCCACTGTCCGTTGCCACTGGCATATGGACTCCATATGGAAACGGCCTATTTGAAGCTTAGCAAGGAGGTTGAATTGCATTTCAAGTCTTAATAAGCTCATGGGGACGTTGGTACCACAATGCCAAGCATGGAAAGCAGGTAAGTCAAGCGTTTTCCATATTGTAGGGCAAACGGTTGCCAGAAGAGGAGGCCCCAGCCGAGGAGCAGGAACATGTATCCTGTACCGGCATTGAGGTCGCTGACTATACCGAGTCCAAAAATAGGTCAGCCATGTGCAAACAAAGCTCCCATGTAGCATTCTCAACGTGCCTGTAAGCTGCAATGCCGGTGATAGCGGAACCAGAACCGAGTACACAACTGACAGGGCCATGCCGTTGAAGAAGACAAAACTGTACAATGCAAGACATGCATATTCAGCAGCAGCCTCATGGACTCTTGTTCAAGTCTCTGAACGACCCATCGACACAAATTACTTCACTCACACAATTAGGCAAACAAGGTGCAGGCGCTTTCGCGACGGCGACCAGTTGAGGGGATCATTGGGATCCGACGATGGCGTTGGTACGAGAATAATATCATTGTGATTGCCAGTATGCGGAGTCGCTGCGCTACGATCCAGGTCAACAAGGTGAACGGTGCCCGGTACCTTTGCGGCGTCCATCTCCGTGGTGCCGCTGTGAGTTCTTGGCGTTTTGGACAGATCTGCTGCCATGACTATCCAATGTGCACTGCGGCCAATGGCAACGGACAGAACGTGCGACAATGGCTGTGTGTCAGGCCGATCCGGCAGCAGATACTCCGTACTCCGTAAACTCGAATGTTTCGTCCCAAGGTGGTTCGGTGGCTGCACGCCGAGGCGGTGGCGTGTGTCCGTGGTGGTGATGAGTCTTGCTTGGTAAGAGGATGAGAGTTTGCCGGGTGGATTTAGAGAGTTTGAGGAAGGCAACTGGAAGACGGCACGGACGAGACATTGGCGGCTGATTTCGGGAGGCTTTGGCCACTGGGCCAATTTGAACAGGACACCAGGTGATTCATCGTACGTGTGCTGATGCTCCGTCGAGAAGCCGCCGAGCCAACGACGAAAGTGTGCAGTGTCTGTGACTCTGTGGCATGCGTTTGTGGTGTTTCCCCCAGCCACCGACATGGACGGCCAACGCACTGGGCGCGCAAACTAGCTGCGAGATTAGATGCACGCGCTGGAGATTGCGATGCTGCAATGGATGTCGCCGTTTGATGTCGAGCGGCTTCCAAGGTTTCAAGGTTGTGAGGGGTGGAGCAGAATGCGGGAGCGCTATCAAGAAGTCCCGTCATGCCATCTTGAATCTGGCACAAGAGTCAACTGGTCCGGTCTGGCCAACGACTCCCACCATGTCGCCGGCACTGGGACGTTCCTTCCAGACCGGACCGGACTCTTCACCTTCCTCTGTGGTGGCGGATCTGCACGAGCCACTAACCTGGAACCTGGCTGGCGGAAGCCCTCCCATGTTGCCGGCTGCACGTGCCTTGATCAGTTGGGCCTTGGCTAGCTCAGATGTTGACATCGGGAGCCATGTTTCGGGCCATGGTAAACACGCAAACGTCGACCGGAAAACTCCCACGGGCAGCCACTGACTGCCTCGTCAGTCCCTGGTTGACGCCGACGAGTTGACAGCACGATGTACTTTTCTTCTTCTCCTCCTCGTCCTTCCTGTGAGCTGATATCCCGGGCTCTTTGTCCACTTGCTTGCGCCAAGTTTTCATCCCAAGGGCCCAGAAAGCAAATTGACTTCACCGCCGGAAACCAGGGCGACGATCGAGCAACGACCGACTGAAGACGACCAACACGAGCAACGGCAGGCTGCTCCTTGCCCCTTGCGCCCCTCTTCATGAACCTTGATATGGAACGTTCTTCTGAATGGCGGCTCAATGCACTGGCCGCTTGCCATGCAACCCAACCCGCTTCCCCATGCTTGGAGGCTGCTTTGGCGGCGCCAATGCGGGGGTTGGGGGGATAATTGGTGCAAATTGGCACCATAACGGCACCTGGGCTATAATTGATAAACGGCCCTGTCAATAAATGGCGCCCTGCAGCTCCAGAGTCTATTTTGCGCTTCATCACTCTCGTACGGGGCCCCCGGCTCGTTTAATTAATCGCCCTAAATACACCTTGACAACGCCCATGTATTAACTCGAAAGCCCGCGTTGGCCGAGTTTGACAGTGGAGCTGCGCGAGGTTGGAGGGTGACATGTGCATCATGAACTTGGGCTCGTATGGATAACGCTTCCTTTGAGCAATCCCCCAAATCTATTCCCTGGACTTACCTAGAACAGTCGCAGCCTTGGTTGAATGCCCGCCTAGCGCACGTTTAGCTGGACGACCGTTTACAAATCACGAAACAGGAGGTCATGTTTTATGAACCATGGCGGAATGAGGCACACGATTGGCTCTCGTAGAATCGGACCACTTCAGCAACGCGTGCGATTCACCGTTTTATCAAATGCCTGGCCTTGGATTGGCACCAATCGGCGAATCAAGAGCGAAGCGACCCCGGCAAACAAACAGCCTTGGCCTCAGTGGCTATCAAGCTGATTCATGCGCCATCAATCAGCCAAGAGCCGTGGCTGTACGGCCGTCACTTGGTCGAAGGCTTTCCACTAATTACTCGTAGTCCAACCTTGGCGCCTTGCGTCTCTTCCAAGGCACAAGGGGCCCCCAACCAGATCCTTCCTAGGATGGGCATTGGATCAAAAGGATGGGCAAGCTGTGCTGGTTGGGACGAACAGAGATGGATGTCCGAGCTTGATTCCTGACACAACATCAAATCAAGAAACGGCGTTGCACGAATGCTTTGCAAAGTTATTTCGACCTTCTCAGCCCTCCTACTGGCTTGGCTGTCTCTGCTCGGTTGCATCATTGTCACAGTCCCCGATTTTTGAACCACATTCCGAGACAAGTGTATCCCAAGTCTGCAACGTGAAACAAGGGCAACCCTTGTCAGATCCTGGAAACACATTTAGCCGTCCTGCAATGTAGATGTTGCCTGCGTCCCGGCCTGCTGTGTTTTATTGGTATAGCCGCCAAGTTGGTTAGATCAAGTGTTACACGCTAGTATATCAGAATATATCGACAGAATCCCACACTAGTTTGCAAGTTCGTCCGTCCTCTTGCCTTTATACCCCTTTTGACCCCATCTCAACACCGAAAGAAGCACAGTCGTTCTGATGTTTCAATACAGCGTTTTATATAATGTCTATACTGACCTGAACCCGAGGCCAAGGTGCGAATTCCGGTTGGACTTTGGACACTGACGATTGCACGGCGACGGCACGCGCCATGACTGAATCCATCACCCACACCGTCTACGCGGGTATCTTGACGACATTAATTCCAGCGTCAATACTACTTGGCCTACGGTTTTACGCGAGAAGAATTAAACACGCTCCGCTATGGTGGGACGATTATCTAGCCGTGCTGGCGCTGGTACGGCCCCAAGAAACGACAATCTGCCCAAGGCGGCATCTTGACTGACATGCTCTCAGGCGTCGGCAATTGCCTACGACATAGCCGCATTCTTTTGTATGCTGCGGCCTTTGTAACCCTCTTATTCTTTTATGCTCGACGGACGCTGGCTAACCAACGTGGACCGCAGTAATAACAAAGGGCCTCGGCCGACATCTTGGAGACCTCACCATTTCTCCTGGCGAAGCACGCTACTACCAAGCAATGGCACTGCAGATCCATGAACACACATATACTGTGGCCGTCACAGCTGCGCAGCTATCCTTGCTGGCGCTTTTCTGGCGACTATTCAAATCGGTGACATGGGCAAAAATGACTATATTGGCCATGGCTACGTTTGTGAGCGTTTGGTATATAGTGCGAGTATGACCATCTCCGAGACGTGCCAACCACCTTGGAAACAATGCGTTAACAAAGTGGCATTTAGTTGTTCATCGCCGTGTTCCAGTGTTACCCGCCTCGCTTTCTATGGGACAAGTCCATTGAGGGGACGTGTTCCATTGATCCGTCCCGGTTCCTTTTTTGGTCCATTTCAGCACATCTTGTCATCGATGTTGCGCTGATGGTGTTGCCGGCAAGTGAGTAAAAAGTCCCCCGATGACTGGCAATGGGGAATCGTCTAATGAGTGCTTTTCTCGCACAGCGCAAATTAGCAGATTGTTTCTGCCCTGGCCGCAAAAACTGGCCATTGCTGTCATGTTCATGTTCAGCATCGTGTAAGCTTCCACCACCGCGTTTGCTTGGCTGATTTGGGCCGTCTGACTGTGTAGCAGTGTTGTCATTGCCGGCAGCATGACGATAGTCGTTTCGTCAAATTACGACTCGTACGACGACGACGTTTTGTGGAATTGCACACCCGCCTTGGTCTGGTCCGCGGTAGAGATTCACCTCAGCGTGATAGCTTGTAAGTAGACTCTTGACGATGCAATGACCAACTGCCGCAGCGCCAATCTGACCCGGTCTCTCCATCCACAGGCTGCCTCCCCGTGATGAGGCCGGTTGTCCACGCTCTCGGAGGCTGGTGGGGACACAACTTCTCCTCTCGCAAGGAACCCAGTGCGCCGACGTTCAATACCGTCAAACTCGGCCACGTCCATCGCTCAGTGGGGGTGACATATGGAAACGAGTCGACTTGCAATCTCGCCAATGGCGCAGACGGCAACCAGGCAGTGGTGGTGACGGATTCGGGACGAGTATTTGGACAGGGAGAAGGATCCGACACCGTCATCAGCACGGGCAAAGACAAGGAGCAGCTGGCATCATCGACGTCGACGGGGAGCACGGATGGGGCGATATTGGTGCAGTACGAAATCGACTTGAGTTTCTCTCGACAAGGTTCCCATGGCCAATGGAGAGAAGAATGAAGAACCATGTTACGAAATAATGCAGCGTCGTGCTGACACGGCACGCAGTAAAATGGGAAGATGGGTCGTCAGTGCCACTGCCATGCGTACTGTACCAAACGAGCCATCATGACAAGGCGGCAACGCGTTTAGCGACGGGGTACCTGAGGGTAAACGGACGATCCAAGCGCCGCGCCACCTTGGCCATTCCATGCCTACTTGTGCCAATATCACAAGACTTACTCCCTTGGGCAAGGAGACATGTCCGGCCTGGCCACATTCACCAACACCGCAACAAATTTACGATTGGGCGGGTAATACTAAACCTAATACACAGAGTGGAAATAATGGCATGACGTCTCATCCCCATTCACGCGAAATTCGCCTTACAGATCCGAGACCTGTTCAACGCCTCAACCGGCTTGATATGCCACAACTAGTGCTGGCTGCTTTGCGATTGAACATTTTCCTGTATAGCTACAAACTATTCGCCAGTTCATAATGGACGGGCTGTTGGCAAGGATGGCACGGGGTATGTCTGCCATGTGTGCAAGTAGTTCAGAGCTGGACCGCGAAAACAAGCGTCCAAAAGTTGACGTCATTCGATAGACGGGGCGTCGGGGACGAAAGGATCAATAGGTAGCTGCAAGTCGGTCCGTTCCACAGGCCGCAACTAATAAAAAAAACGAGGTCCCAGACGTGGCTCACAACCGTTGCATTCGTCTCCCGCGTAGCTCGTCTCTTTGCCGTCCACATGTCCCGTACGCCCTGCTACCACACGACCAACAACTCGGTTGCGCCAAGCGTACGGGCCGCGTCACTCGAGAGACCCGGGAACAAAGTCGACAACCATGGCCTTGGAAATAATGCCGTCCGCCGAGCTGATCCACTTGCTAATGAAGCCGTGGTGGACCTTGTCCTCCTTGACGTAAAAGTCCCTATCGGCCACCGAGTCGAACTCCATGACGAAGACGTGCGTGAAGCCATTCTGCCTGCTGTCAGTGTCTGGTCTACCGGAGGGGGGATGGACATGTCCTTGCCGCCTTGGGAGCGGGCAATGTACAGCTTTCCCGTGGAGGCGAGGACGCACTGGTCCTTGAGGCCGAGCACCTCGTCGCAGCACTGGGGGCGTTAGTGACGGAGTGAGGGAAGGGGCACCAGGGCGCGCAAGGTACCTGCTTCACGGACTGGGCGCTGGCGTCCGGCTTGAACTGGAACATGACGATGTGGTTGACGCCCATGATGACGATGCGGTCTGGTGTGATGAGGGGACGTTTGGTGTTTGGAGCGTTTGTGGTGAGAGCTCCTGATGGAAGGGACTCAGGATGAAGGAGGTCGAAGGATTAATGAATTGACTTTGATGAACCCCGCTGCAGGGCGCGGGGCCATGGTGCTTGGAAATCAATACCTCGAGCGGCTGCACCGGCGCCTTAAGTGCTGACATATATGCGCATGCATGATTTTCTCACAAGGATGGATTCGCCGTGCGATGTCGGCCGTTTTTGGTCCGTGGCCATTTCTGCTTGCAAATTGGCTACGGCGGAATTGCTTACATGCTACGTGTTCCACGGGCTATGCTCGATGGCAAGGGTCAAGTTCAACATGAATTGATTGACGGATTATTTGCAACCGACGCTTGTACTTTCAACCTTCAACCTTGGGTCTTGTTCTTCTGGTACGCGACCTTTTGGAACTCCCGAATGGCATCCGTCGCGCCGGCATCACCCGGCGGGAGCAGCTGCGTCACAAACAGCCCACAGAGCCCGTTCGCTCGGTCGATAAACTGTCAACAACGCCCTCGTTAGCATTCTATGCATGTGTGCTGGTAGTCTCGCAAGTCTCGCCACGTACCCAGAACAAATTCGGCGCACCGCTCCACGTGAGCGTGTTGGCGCCCCGCGCGTAGGGCGCACCGTCGCCAGCCTTCTCGATCAGCAAGCCCCCGAGCCCCCAGTCGTACTCCTCGCCGGGGTAGTAGTCGCCGACGGCCCACGCCGACCCCTCGAGGGACTGCTTCAAGGCGGCCTTGCTCGCGGGCGACAGCTGCCCGCGGAACATGGCGTCCGCGGTCTGCGGCCGCAGCAGCCGCCCGTCGTTGGCGAGCAGCGAGTGCAGCAGCTTCAGGACGTCGTCGGCCCTGCCGTGGCCGCCCTGCCCGCCGAAGCACGCCTCCACGCCGGCGTTGAGGCCGAGCCCGCCCGGCACCGGCGCCAGCTTGTCCGGCCCCCCCGGCCCGCGGGACGCCATGCCCGCGCGTCCCTGCGCGCCGGGGAAGAAGGTGAACGTGCCCGAGGCCCCGAGCGGCTTCCAGATGTGCTCGGTGAAGTAGGCCTCCAGCGACTGGCCGCTGAGCTGCTCGACGAGCCGGCCGGCCCAGTCGATGCCGGCGCCGTACGCCCACCCCTCGCCGGGCTGGTACAGCAGCGGGACGCCGAAGCGGGACTCGACGGTCGGGCCGTGGTTGGGCGGCGTGCCGTGGAAGCGGTGGTACTGGCGCAGCTTCTCGCCCGCGTCTAGGAAGGTGTATCCGGCGCCGGACGAGTGCGTCAGCAGGTGCCGGAGGGTGATGGGGCTCTTGCGGTCTTGTAGCACGGGCTGGCCCTGGTCGTCGAACCCCGAGATGATTTTTTGCCGGCACAGGACGGGGAGAAGTTCGGCCACGTCGTCGTCTAGCTGGATGAGGCCGCGCTCCACGAGCTGGAGGGCGGCGACCGTCGTGGCCAGCTTGGTGATGGAAGCTAGGGTGAAGATGGTGTTGGCGTCGATGGGGTCCGGGTCTGCGGCGGCGATGGATTTCGGCCCCAGATAGGTCGAAAGCACGTCCGAGTCTGGCCTCGTCAGCTATGTCCATGTGCGGCGTGTCGGGGTTCTCATACTGTCGAGACGCCTGGCGAGAAGCGCCACGCAGGGCAGGATGCCGCCGCTGATGGCGGACTCGAAGGGCTGCGTGTGGTCCATTTTCCGGCTTGTATGATTGTGTCGGGTAGGCAGATGGCAAGTTGGACTTGACAGGTATGGGCTCGGGTTGAGAGCCGCAGACGCCAGACTTACAGCTGCCTCTCGACGCAGATATACCCGGCCCACACCCGCCGGGTCATTTGTAATGCGGCGTCGGCCGCGACGGGAGAGGGGTTTCGGAAGCGGAGAGATGCAGCCGATCGGCATATGGCGCTGCTTGGCATGCTGTTTCTCCGTGGGGGAGCTTGGGGGGATTCCCGAGGGCGCTGACTGCCTTGCATTGATTCTCATTGTTGGATTTCCGCCAGCGCCGTGCAAGCATGCCATGCTGCCGGATGGAGTTTCGAGGCCTGTAACAAATCCGCGGTGCAGACTGGACCTTTTCGTCAAAGGCGCCCGCGAGATTGGCTGCTGCTTCGGTGCGAAAGACGTCGGTGGGACATGGTCATTGAGATGTCCTCGGACGAGACGACTTCCGATGGCGACTGACATGACAATGGTCATTGCTGGGCGTTAGCATTGCATATCATGCTTCGGCATCTTATACTATCATAATACATCGATCAAAATGTTGCCAAACTTTAGTGTCTCCTCATGCATTTCCATGTTGAATAATTGGGGGCCATTCATTGCAAGATATTCCATCATAGACGGCTTTGGCACCATTCATGTGAAACAAAAGATGCATCGGCCGAGAAAATAGAGATGGGAATTCACTGTGGCTCTGGTCGCTGGGTATCTGGATGAATTATCTATTTAATGCTTTTAGTCTCACGATTCTACACTTGACATGTTAATGTACTGGACTGCCGTACAGGCCCGACGAGTTTGAAGGGGGTCAATGTGCCCCAGACACCGGGCAGTAGCATGTCGTCCCAACCCTTTAACCACTGGGAGACTCTCGGCGCAGCTCTCTGAGTCCAGTGCGACAGAGTAAGCCATTTGGAAACCATGTTTCCTTGTAGTTCTTGAAAAGACGGCTGCAACTTGGACGCGGAGGAGCAGTATGCAGAAGACGCGACTCGGGCTCTCTTGGTCGTGTTCTCAAGGTGTACAATGCTTAGCTGATTATTGAAAAGAGCCGTCGACGTAGAGAGTTGGAATCATGGGATGGCAAGTTATAGCTGTTTCGCGAGTCTCCCCTTCCGCTTGAGTGTGGTGCTGTTCCAAAAGTCCTCGATATATATGACCTGTCCTCCACTCCGGGAATCAAGCCCCTCGTTGCCCGATTCACAGAGGACTTTTCCCATTCATCGCTGCAGAATTCGGTTCTGTACCGTCAATGCGAAATGTGTCCGGATGACACAACCCCGTCTCGCACGAGCATTTTGCCAGGTTGGCGGCAACCAAGCGTTTCCGTGTACTGCACACCATCACCCCCTTGCATATACAGTCTGGTGTCTCTCGAAAACCTCATCGAGAGAAATCCTAATCCCAATCATGGGCCACCCGCCACTGGTCTTCTAGCTTCAGCCTGCCCCCCTCGATCAACGCGCAGTCCTTGTGCCCCCATTTTTCCTCATATATCTGCCCCCCAACGGCCGTCAGCATATCAAACGCCCTCTGCACCCCGCGCGAAGAATAATAAAACGGCTCGCCCTCGCCGCCCTTCTGCGACGACTGCCACGTGTTTCGCCCCCGGTCGCCCTTTTTATATTCCACCATCCTGTCCACCACCCCCTGCAGCCTGCGCCAGTACTCGACGTGCTCGGGGTCCCCCCCTTCGCCAACGGGCTCCCCGCCCCCCGAGCCCTTCCCGTCCTGCTCTGCCGCCGGGGCCGTCTTCTCCGGAGGATTCGGATCCCGATAGTCCAGCTCGGCGTCGGGCTCGCGGTAGAGCGCGCGCAAATCTTTCAGAACGGTGTTGACGTCGCTGATGACGCCGACGTCCCTCGCGTCCAGGGTCCAGTTGTGCATCAGCAGGCGCTGGTGCATGTCGCAGTCGGTGATGTAGTACGGGATATACGTGTCCCACCCGCCGACCTCCTCGTACGCCGCGCGGTTGACGAGCGTGAGGTGGTCGTAGGCGAAGAACCGCGTTCCCCAGCGCTCCCCCGAGTGCAGGGTGGTGTTGAGCTCGGCGAGGCAGCTCTCGTATAGGCTTCTGTAGCCGTGCTCGCCTGCTTTCGGCAGCCCGTTGTGGCCGCCTTCGTGCGAGGAGACAATCACGTCCATGTGCGACCAGAAGTAGTACGGCCACTCGCGCTCCTGCGAAAGATGCATGTAATAATTTTGCAGTTGGGCAAAATTCAAAAGCACGGGCGTCTGGATGATGTTGACGCCTAGGTTCTTCAAGCCGTTGTAGTCGAGGTAGAAGGGGTTCTGGAGCGAGAGCCGGCCCCGGGGGTTTGCCCACTGCGTGCCCGTGTTTTCAATCACGTAGATTTGCGATGCGGGCCAGCCTGCCGTGATGTAGGACACGACGGCTTGAACGAGGAGCGGCCACCCGCGCGTGAAGCCGATGAATAGCGGCGGCGCATAGGGGAGTTGGTACTTTTTGTGTAGATTCTTCTCGGGGACGTTCCACCTGGGAATAGAGGGCGGCGGCGATGTCGCGAGGGATACGAAGGGGTCGACCACGGGAGGGGGGACGTATTCGGGCGCGGGTAGGTATTTTGGACCGGGCGGCTTGGCTTCTTTGGCGGGATCTTTTTTGCCTTGTTGGTATTGCTTGAATTTGTTGACTTGTTCGCGAATCACGACGTGGGATCGATCCGTGGAGAGAAGGACAACAGCGAGGGCGGCAAGGATGAGGCCCGGGATTATATACCGGCGGCCTTGTATGGCGACCATGGTGAGAGTCGCGAGTTCTCGCGATGTTGTCTAAAGAGCGTGGTTGCTTTGCCAGCCTGATGGGAATACTGACTTGGAGGTCAAGATTTCGACTACTCGCACAAGAGATGGATGTGCATACGCAAGAGGTGGAAACTCTTTGGTTTGAAATCGCAATACCAATCGTTTCTGGGCCAGCCATAGAAATGTAGCTCCAACCGCCCGGTGCTGGGAGGATGGAAAGAAGCAAAGGGATCAATGGATCAAGGGGTCGGGGGGATCGGGGGGGATTGGGGAATCAGGGGCAATGCGCCACCACCCAAAAGCAAGACATGAAGATCAATCAACATCTGTGGTGAGACACAGGGTTGCCCTGCAAGGCAACATGTCGGTGTTGGATGGCCAAGGGAGGCCTTGGGGAATGTTTGTGGAGCATAGCTGCAAAAACAACGACCAGGCGTTAAACTATAATCGATGCCAGGTTTTAAACATGTTTCTGATGTAAAAAGCTGGTTCACAACATGACGGGAGTAGGCATGATAAAGTCATGGATAGTAGTACTGCATACACGCCACCTATATGCAAAGACTTCTTACAGAAAAAGTACACCCAATGCAATTCTGCTTTGAATCCTACATCTCCTTTCTGGTGTCCAGGATTAGCACATGGTTTCCATCTTGTTGCGCCACGTTTCGGCTCCTCGTATAGCGAGTCAAGTTTGACAATGACTGGCCACGTTTCTCCAACGCATGTGCAAGCAGAGCCACAAGACCCATCCAGAACTTACAGAATCCGGCTAGCGAACAACGTGGTTGTACTCGCTCCGGCCAGTCCCTAGTGTCTGGCTATGCCCTTGATCTCATCTTGAGAGCTTGTCACAGGCCACTGGCGCCATCGGTTCAACCCGTACCAAGATTGAGGTAGGGGCTTGGATGGCCACGTCACCCTGGTCCCCGGGTTTCAAACCAATACCAAAGCGTCTCCGGGGTAGAGGTTTGTCCATCAAGGCGGATCCGACCGCCTATTTCAAGACGGCTCCTCGTGCGACGGTTTCGTCTGTAGAGCCATCAATCAGCCATCTGGTCCCTCACCTCGGTCTGACTTTGCCGTCGCGACCTTGTTAATAGCGAGGTTATTTCCGTTTAGGACGTGTGAGTCGAGACGCTTAGTAGGGGCGAATAAAATTGTGGGACTGGCCTAAGATGCCGTTCAACTTTCCCTGTAGCACGTCAGAGTCGACAAGATGTTGTACTTATTCGTTGATATGTTGAGCGTGATTGCACGGTTGGGAAGTCTTTAATCTAGCGGGCGGACTCCAAGGGTACCCAGCTCGACTAGCCAAAGACTAAACATGTATGCCCAGGTGATATTCCAAGTCAAATTTAGCAGAGAGCGTGTGAATGCTTCTTGTACTCAAGGGTTGGTAAATATAGTCGTGAGCTGGTATGCCGCAGCTCATGCCTAGTCGAACAGACAAGCAGTACAAGAAGAACATCGTTCAGCTACTTCTGACAGCTTGATTTTGAAGCTCATTGTAGCCCGGTCTTGTAGCCCTGTGCAGCCTGTTTTTCAACCCTTCAAAATAACACAAATCATCAGTTGCGCCGTTTTGAGCAGTGATGCTCTGTGTCATTTTGAAGGGTTGAAAAACAGGCTTCAAAGAGCTACAAGTCAGGCCGCAGAGGACTTCGAAATCGGGTTGCAGAGAGGGCTTTACAATCGAAGGTTTTGGGGAGCGAGGTTCGAAAGAGGGGTTAGGCATCATTTTTGTAGTGTAATTTGGTGTAACGATTGCCTTCGGAATGCCACTTTGAGAAAATGCGACGAGGGCTTAATAGGGCTCGGAACGTTAAAAGGTTTAAATACAAAGATAATATCAAAGATTGTCAAAGGTCCTTGGTTTTTTAAGAGGATAAAAGGAAATAATAACTATTATTTATATAAGATAAAAATACATGTGCTTAAGGCTCTTACCTGGGCACGTGTTTAATCTGTGTAACCAATAGGCCCTTTGTCGGTGAAGCCCCTTTATTGGGCTTCGCGAACCGTTAGGCCTCTTCCGTGTAACAGAAAACAAGAGCTCTGTGTAACACCCGTTGGATTGTGTAACAGGCAGGACTTTTAAATTGCACCTCCGTATAAGACATTGACAAACCAGGAAATTTTCTCGAGGTCTATAACTGGCAGCAGTAGAAGTTTATTCACCTGTATGATAAATGGTTTCCTAG